AGTGTGGCCCTTGACCACTTACAAATTCTTGGCGTGGCCACCCCTCATAAAAAATTATTGCCTTCCTCTGTCTTAGGCCCTGTCTACACTGCCACTTACACTGGCAAAGCTTATGTTGCTCAGGGGTGACTATTAAACCTCTCTGAATGACATCAATTACAGCAGCGTAAGTGGTAATGTTCACAGCACTAGGTCAGTGGTAGAAGCGGTCACTGCTCATTGGGGCTGGTTTAATTAATTTAACAGCTCTCAGAACAGAGAGCTACATGAGCCATCTTAAAGTGGTGCAGCTGCATCGGTACAGCTCTGCCACTGTAAGCTCTGTAGTGTAGACATAGGCTTAGTCACGTTAGTAAGGATGGCACAACCTAGTCCTCCAATTCTGCCAAAGGTGCAAGTCCAATAGTTCTGTAAACTGAAGCACTGGGCAGGACCTGTGAAACTTTTCTGCTTCTTTCTAGCTTTATTTAAAAGCTGAATTTCTTCAAACCAGTGAAAGAAATGCTACTCATCAAATCGGCTGTAAAAACATCTTTGAGCAGTGCTTGGAAAGAAGCATCTTACCGGGGTCGATGTCATTAGCAAGGATCTGGGATGCACCACTCATCACAGCGGCGATTGCTGTTGCTCCACATCCACTCCCAAGATCTAGTACTGAGCCCATTCTGACAACGTCTGGGTTATCTAGAATATACCTGAGTATAAAATGAAACCTGCGTGAGAGTCCATTTCATAGTTGTACTGATGCATCAGATATTAACTCAAAAGATGCCCTTGCACACAGCCTCTCATACAAACCAGAGCATCTGTTCTAATACCAGAAACCACCAGAAGGTGCATGAAATAACAGCAACAAACTACAGCCTTCGCAGAATCATAGAGTTGGAAGAGACCTCAGGAGGTCATCAAGTCCAGCCCCCTGCCCAAGGCAGGACCAATCCCAACTAAATCAACCCAGCCAGGGACCTTCTCCCCATTTAAAATGTAATAAATGGGTTAAAATTGGATGGTGGCTATAAAGCTTGATACTAACAGCAGGAAACGGAAAAACTGAATCTGGTAGTGAAAACTATCAGTACAAATACAAATGTTTTAACAGCAATATCTGGGCAGTCTGATGCAGCGCTCAGTTTCAGACATGCAAGTTCTCTAACTGCAAAGCGCCTCATTCACTCATGTCTTGCAACATGATTTATCTGACAACTTGCAACAAGAGCGCCTTTTCTGGTTTTTAAAGAGCCACATGCCCATTGCATTGAAATACGGCGGAGGAGTGACTGGATACATAAGACTAAAGTCACAGTGAAAGTGAGATTATCCCAGGCACCCTGACAGCCAGAACCATGTTGGTGTGAAGAATCAGCAAACAAAAACCACTAACCTGGAACTAAGGAGGAAAAGCCTAAAGACTATAAGAGCTGGGTATTATTATATTACTCAGTGAGTCCTTTTCTCCCACATGGGAGGGTGGGATGCAAGTTGTCATCACTTCACCAGACCTATGACAGTATACAACAGGTGAAAATCTTCCCCAAGGATTTCTTCACACTATTCTGGGATAAATGAGGTTTACCATCCTCCCCTTATTCCCTCACAATAGGCTGGAAGCAAGATCTTCCTAATGTGCAGATATTCTGACATCCACAGAGATATTTGGTAGATCTGAGGACACCAACAAAAAGGGAAGAGTATTTGGTTAATTGCTGGGCACCGTTAGAGAAAAAACTGCCCCCCTCCCACCAGGACAGAACCAGATGGACAGTTTTAGCAAATAAAAGATATTTATTTATGACAGTGATGAATTTATAGTATTTATTCTAAGATTTTTAATAGACCATGTTAATAATGAATTTACAGTATTTATTATATTTATTCTACGATATCTAGTTAAACGAGTCAGAGATATAAGGATGGGAATGGCAAGGGGAATAGTCTCGATTCTAACAATATCCAGCTACACTAATTAAATAGGAGTGATAACTACAAACTCTGTGTACTACCCAAAACAACTACAACACTAAGCTTATACAACAAAGAAAATCAAATCATACATACCAACTTACACAGCACACAGAACATTTCAAAGATATCGGTTCGGTTGCGAAGGCCTTGGTTACGCCCGAGAGTCAGGGGAGGTGGCTGGTCGGTTGATCAGGCCGGCAGCGCTTTGAAGTATACGGGAAGGCACACGCACGGTGGTACGTGTGGTTGCAAAGACCTCCTAGAGCGAACTCTGCGATGGGTATTTATCCCCAGGTCTGCACATCGCTTTTCCGTGCTTGCATACTACCATATACGGTCACCAAGTGGGGGTCTGTGTCCCAGGGGTTGGACCAAAACTGTGCAGGTTTCATGCGACCAGGTAAGCCCCGCAGTTCTCACACCAAGGTGACGGGTGGGAGAGTCTGAGGCTATTTTCCCCTTTTCTAAAGCCAATGTTATGAAGTAAGGCCCGGTTTCTCCCAAGGAGTACTGCAGCCCACTATAGCAAGAGCAGCCTGGACAAACTTTTTTACTGGGGGGGAAGGGGAGGAGGCAGTTTTTTTTTTTCTAACATATGCCACTAGTTACTGAAATTCTCAAGTTAGAAAAACAGCAAGTTAAATCATTTGTTGAAATGCCAGGAAATTAATTCATGTCACTAACCAAATGGTTAGGTAGAAAAAACATCCTGTGTTAAAACATGGAGCTGAAATTAACTACAGTACCTAATTAATTGACTTACCATTTTTAGCAGCTGTGTTGAATGTCAGTCTAGTCAACTCTCACAACTTGGCTGTGAGACTCATTTTTTCCAACTTAAAAAAAAATCTCTGATTTTTGCTGTCTTACAGAAAAATAATACAAACTTAAAAACCCAAACCAACCTCAAATCAAACCTTTCCCTGTCAGCTCAGTGGGAGATGGCTGAAGGTTTGCTGTTGGCAGTAAGACTCATGACTTTTTATGCTGCTAGATATGAAAAGATACTTTGGGTGATATAAGAAAATCAGCAGCCCCTGAGAATTGGAGACATTTTGACAACAAACTGCCAGAAACAAAACATGGCACAGAGTTTGTAAATAAGTGCAATACTGTCAGATAAATTTAAAGGAATCCTGTCTATGTACATCCCCATCCCGTTATTTAGGACTTTAGAACAAATATGGCTATAGGTTAGGCCTTGTCTACACTAAAAGTTGTATTAGCAAAATTGTTGTTCAGTGGACACAGATGTGCTTCCATGAATACTTTGTTTTCTCCTGGAATACTCTGAGTTATTGAGAACTAAGTATTCCCCTCCTGAAGTGAGGCTACATGATGGGATTAAACACACCACAATATTTTTATGGAAAATGCAAAATTTTTCCACACATCCAGATTCAGTCCTGGCATGCTGTGCCACTGAAGTCAACAGATTTAATGGCCATCCATTATTCTACAGACAGCAGCCACAGATTTCATAGTCTCAGCAGAGATAGTACTCACAATCTTCTGTTCCAAAGCCATGGGCTTCTATCCCTCAACCTAGAGGAGAATCTGTGTTAGGTGTTCTTGTACTAGACCTTATGTACTCCTTTGGCTGCAGCCACTAGGGATTTGTCAATTTTATGTGTTCATTTTTTTTAATTGTATCCCTTTGGTATATATGGTCATGCCAATTTTCTTCCACAATTTGATCTGAGGAAGTGGGTCTGGCCCATGACAACTCATCACTTAATAAGCCATCTTGTTAGTCTTTAAAGTGCTGCATAGTCCTGTCTTTTGTTGTGACAAGCAAAACTGATGTTTTATGCAGCAGGGAGCGACAATGATGTTGACTCTAGCAAGTGGTCATTGTGCACTATACCTGGACAGGGCTTGGCCACCTGGCCAGTAGATTGCCCAGAAAGGATCGCCAAAGGGCCACAGGGCAGCCCTCTCCTGCCAGAATCTGCAGCGAGGCGTCAGAAGTCGCAGTCGTATCTCTGGAGTGAGGTGCCCGCTGCTGGTGACTTCAGTGTTCGTTTCCAGAAACAGTCTCATTTCAGGATCCAGGACACTTCCTGGAGTCCTGTGATAGCAGCATCTCCGTGTCAAAGAGGTACTTCGCTTACTACTCCTTGAAGCTTTTGTAAGGACACCCCTACAGCCAAAGCCTATAAACCACTTCCAGCAGCTGAACACCATGGCTCCTCTTTGAATTCAGATCAGGAAGGATTTTACCGAAGGAGCTGCACAATGAAAGTTTATCTTGGAAGTGTGTGGGGAGAAGGGTTTGGCACCAATTCAGAAGTGGTTTTGTTGTGTAGCAATTCCTGCAAACAAGAGCAACACTGCATCAGTGATAAAAGTAGCTATTTCGAGGTCACCTGCCATCAGTTCTGTAAGAGGCAGCAGCTGGATGAGTGTTGCTGTATGCTGATGAAAGGTCTCAGGTTTATCAGACTCCTTTTTCCCCATAGTTTTATAATGCAGTTCTAAGGAAAGACAAACTCTACATCAGGATGGAGACACTTGGAGGATGGTGGGGAGGAGGGTTGGATGTAAAACAACAGTTCATGTGACATTACTCTAGTTCTGTTATGGCAGGAGGAAATACCATTTGACCATTGGAACAAACCATTGCTCCACCAAAGTCCATGGCAAAATTCTTGTTGACTTCAATGGGATTAAGATGTGGACACCTACAGACACATGAACGAGCACTGGGCATAAATTACACCATATCCTGTTACTGCTGGGCTTGCCGTTTAGATGGATTTGATAATTTCATCTTTAGACCTTGGATGGCAACTCGTACAGGCATGTGAATTGTGCATCTAAATCTAAGGCCAGGTCTATGGTACACCCTTTTACTGGCAGAGCTACACCAGGCAGGGATGTGAAGATATAATCCCTGACTGACAGAAATGTGCCAATAAAAGTCCCTAGTGTGGACGCAGTTATATCGATAAAGACCATTTAATGGTTTTGCCAGCATAGCTTATTTTACTTGGCGGGTGCGAGAGGGGGGCTGCATCCAGTCTAGCTACTAGTGTAGCTACACTGGCAATGCACTCTCAGTATAGACCTGGTCTAATGCTTGGCTTACTGATCTCACATTCTGGAGCAGGAATTCCTAGAGGGAAGGAAAGATGTAAAAAGAATGGAAAGGACACAGAGTGAACATTAAATTGCACCTTTGAGCTACAGCCTCCAAAGCCCTATTTTCAGTCATTTTAAAATAGGACTTTAAAAGGGCTTAAAAATTCCTTCTGAAGAGGTTAGGAGAAGGGCATTACTTTCCTGCATTAATGCTGCCTTTGGATACTTAAAATATAATCCATGACAGTGGTGGTGGTGACTTTCAAGGGATCGTTCCATAAAACTCAATAAATCAGGGGACTGTATAGGGAAAAGTGTCTCAAATACTTCCAATGTCATACCATGTCAGTGGCTGAATTGACAGATTTGAAGATTAAATACACAAATTTTTTAGTGTCTGCTTCTCTGCTCCCCACAGATAAACAACAGCAGGATGTTTACACTTTTTGCTTTCCAGTGAATGTTATATGCAATTATGCGCAGACATAGCACAAGGCCTGAGAGCAGGGCATGTTGTTGTTACATGTGGTGTGAACTTTAAAGTGTCTATAGAAATGCTAATGAAAGGGGCAATGGCTGCTTTGAATTGGCAGTGCTCTACTTAACTAATCTACTTCCCAGTGATGAGTAGTCCCTGCAAAGTGGGGAGCCATTAAACCAATTTCTGGGGATGTTAAGCTTTCACTAAAACAAGAGGAGATTCCAGCCCAAAGAATTGTGCAGAGAACCATCTGCGAGCTGAATGTAAACTGTAGTGTTCTCTGCAGAGGGAAGATTTTGGCACCTATGCCGAGGCTCCAAACCTTATCAAGCAGTAGCAGAGTGCAATTAACAACACTGGGCAGCTTCCTTGCTGCCAAAACACTGTGGGAAATAGCAAAACTGCTATGACTCCGGTCAATACACACTGCTGGGTGAGACAGATGTGAGCTACTTGGCAGGAGGAGGACCCTAAAAAAAGACTGTGGCCCTAATTCACTGATACCCCCATGCCACTGTATACCAACTCTACCAGCAAAAAAAAATGGTCTTAAAGCTGTCTGTCTCCTATGGAATTTCCCCACACCAACTCTGCCAGCAAAAAAATGGTCTTACAGCTGTCTGTCTCCTATGGAATTTCCCCAATGCAGAGGAAATCACTGGCAGGTATAGACTAAGCATTAAAATGTGTAGACTTAGGACATGGCCACTCATTTCTGTTGCACCCACAGTACTGAGCCACTGGAGTGCAGGACTGAGCCCTTAGTGCATTCACATCATTTTTTGCCTCTCAGGATGCAAATCAGGACAACAACAAGAGAAATGATTAAGCTGTTATCATTTAGTTCACCCCTCTGCTGAAAATTCTTGCTGCTTTGAAATTGATGGAACTATAAAATCTCTTTCCTCTATTTTTTCCTGCAGTTGTAGGGACAAAATACCTTATTTTCCATTCAAGAAGAGCTCTGTTATTGAATCTCCTGTGGATTTCCTTGTAAAGCAGGCTGTCAAACTGAGGGAACAATCTGAATAAGTGCAAGACAGGTCAAAAGTTTAATCATTAAAAGGGACTTTAATTTAAAAAGCACCCTCCTAAAATGTTACACGCAGTAGCACAAGTTACACGTTAATTTAAAAAGCACACTCCTAAAATGTTACACGCAGTAGCACAAGTTACACATATAACTACAAGTGGATTGACCTGGGTACGGCTAGTTAATCTGACCTCAGTACCAGGCAAAATAATGGAAAAGCAGCACTATAGGCTAGTTGATCTGACCTCAATACCAGGCAAAATAATGGAAAAGCAGCAGTATTCACCCACTAAAGAATAGGAATATAAACAGCACTAGTTAAAATGGCTTTATGGAAGTTAGGTCTTATCAAAATTACCTGATTTTATTTTTTTGAGTAGATTAGGTCTGAATGACATAAGCAATGTTCCCTCTATTTTTTTTCCATCCACATACAGAATAAATTTTGAAGCTTCAGGGGGTAGCCAAGTTAGTATTTACTGGAAAAAACAACAAATGGTCTGATAGCACTTTATAGACTAACAAAACATGTAGATGGTATCATGAGCTTTCGTGGACACAGCCCACTTCTGAAGAACTGGGCTGTGCCCATGAAAGCTCATGATACCATCTACATGTTTTGTTAGAATAAATTTTGTTATGTGCAACAAACCATGTGCAAATGTTCACTACCAGTAAAAAGACATGTGCCAGCTGGGATGGCATTTGAATCTCTCCTGACGGCCGCCCAAGTGCTTGGTTTACCAGGAACACAGGAAACAGGTAACTATACAATACACTGTAAAGCATTTGATGTAATACTGTGTGACATTGATTAAAATACAGCATTGAACAACATCCACAGAGCATGTGTTATATGAATTCAGCACTTACTAACAGGCAGCTCTCAAAAAGTAGTTGTCAATCATCATCGAATGGAAAGTTGCTAGTGAGGTTCTACAGTAATCAATATTAGGCCCAGTACTATTCAACACTTTGCGCAATGATCTAGAAGTAAATAAAAAGCCACAGATGATAACATTTGCAGATGACACAAAAATTAGTGGAATGCTACATGATAACAGGATAATTTTACAGAGCCATCTGAATCACCTGTTAGCCTGGGCCCAGTCAAATGCAGATGACTGAAGAAGTGGGTTATGCACACGAAAGCTCACAATACCATCTGCGTGTTTTGTTAGTCCTTAAGGTGCTACTAGACCATTATTTCTCAACCTATTTTTATAAAGTATCCCTTTAAAAAAAGTTATAAGTACTCCCAATACCTACAGTTTTCAGACACCCTTTTTTTTTCTACTGTTGCAACACATTTGTTTAAACAACTTAAACGTAGCCAGGCTGGTGATGAAATTTGTTGGTGTAAAAAGTACAAAAATAATAAAGTAATGTAAAACTAAAAACAAAAATTCAGTTTTCTCCAAGTTCCAGTTGTGTTGATGTACGCCCCCCCCCCCCAGTTTTCTCTCAAGTACCCCTAAGGGTACTTGTACCACTGGTTGAGAAACACTAGTCATTGTTTTTTATGTACATTTCTAACATTCACATTTGCAAACGGCAACAACAAAATTAAAAAAGATTCTGAAAAGAGCCACAAAAATAATTTGGGTAGATTACAGTGTACAAGTACTTAATAGGAAGAAAAGACCAGGTACCAAAGGGCTCTTTAAAATCAAGTACACAGTGGTATAACCAGTCCAGAACCAATGTCTGGCAGCTGAAGCCAGGCAGATTCAAATGAGAAATTAGGCACACATTGTTAATTATGTTGTACAAGATTAACCACTGGAAGTAACTACCAATGGCAGTGGTGTATCCTCCATCTCTTGATGTCTTCAGGCGGAGACTGGATGCCCTTTTGGAAGACGCTCTTTAGCGAAACCTAAAGAGACTGAAGACGCTTTTGGAAGACGCTCTTTAGCGAAACCTAACTTAAGCTTGTTAGTCAGACACAAGTTATTGGGCATAGGATAAGGGTGAAAGTTAATTTCTCATACTGGATGTCAGACTACATAGTTCCTTCTGATTCTGAACTATGAATTTATGAAGCTGAAAGACATCACAGACTATGTGAAATTCTGTGTTGTAGAAATGGTCATATTCACTAGATCTAATGGTAATTTCTGTCCTTAAAATCTTTGAATCTACCAAAAAGAGAGGAAAAAATACTTTTTTTCAGTTTGTACTGTGCATTTGACTGCACTTTATTTTATGGTCAGTGTCATGATTTCCCCTCTTTGGACAGTTTGCCTAGGCATATGGGTTTTTCCTACAGCAACAGGAGAGGAAAAACTGGTTTTAAAAAATAAGAAACATAAGAGTAAAACACACATATGTTAATAGAAGAACTCAACTGCAAGGAGCCTTTTTGAATTGATTTTAAACTGCCTTAAAATTAATCCAAACAAGATCTGCCAGATCTGCTTCACTGACCATGTACCTCTCTTTCCAGCCTCATGGCTTTGTAGTGCAGCAAGCCTGCTGCTCAGCACAGCATTGTAAAGTGTTCTAAACTAAATCACGTCCATCCATCCCTGTCTTCATTGGCCAGGGGAGCAGTGACTCTACCAGTAAAAGCAGTCCTTGTTAGAAACGTGCTAACACTATTGCAGACAAGATACTAACTTTTCTTTTTTGTTAAACCTACCTTTGATATTACTGTGACAGCTTAACTCCGGAATCAGTCAGCACAGTGACTTAATTTGTCCTTTTGTTATTTTTTGCAACTTGTGTTGTTGCTATGGTTAGCAAGTGGTATTTGCCTGTCTTCTGTTTCCTGGTTCGCGTGCACCAGCACAGTGAGGTCATCAAACTCGTGCTCTGCTTTGGAAGCCACGTGCATCTTTTTCCTCTTACATCCCTTAAAGGGGACAGCATTTAGTATGGCAGCACTGCTGCTGGGTCTGCCTTGAGATACCAGTTTAAAAGGAAAAAAATTCTGCAATGGCAGGGGGCTAGATCAGACTATCTGACTTCTGTGATTCTTTCTGAGGTTAGATTGGGATTGTTCACAGGAATAGTCTAATTAAAAATTGCATTATTTTTAAAAAGGCCAAATGTTCTTCCTTAAAGAGAGCAACTGAGATTACAACATCAGAAAAGATCTTTGCAGCCTAATTTACTTTCCACTCCTTAAACTGATAGCTTATTCTTTGTGTTTCACTTAGCCAGGACTATGAAAATAAAGTAGCCTGTTACATTTTCATGTTCTCATGCCCTAGCACAATGCTGCAACATCAGAGGTGCCAACAATTTGTTTGTTTGGCTTTTCTTTTTAAGATTGAAACTCTTAGAATTCCATGGCCCTTCATACTTACTGATAAGAAATATTTCCCACGCCAGTGTTCTAATCGGTTTTCAGTTCTGCATCTGAAAGAAAAGAACAAAATGAAACAAAAATAATTAGTGTGATACAATTTATAGTAGATACATTTAATGCATAAATTATTGGCTATCTGGAAGAAATTCAAGACGTTATATTCAAAATAAAAATAGAATTTGGTGACTGAAAACAATATTGTTTTGAGATTATCTTGCTGTGTGAATATTGGCTTGTAAGGAGTAAAACCTTAAAGCTCCAATCCTGCAATCACTACAACAGAACTACTCAGAGTGAAAAATGGGCCACATCAAAGTTAATGGGAGTTTTGCCATTGACTAACAGCCGGGATTTCACCGACATTGCATCAAATTAAGCACCACCTGGATAAATCTTTACAAGATCAGAACTTGAACCTTCAAAGGCTAGTATAGGCTTTAACCATACTAATGTCATTGACAGTAATAGGAGTTATCCATCTAAATTCTATCTAACTCTGAAAGTGGAGTGGAAATTATATAACCTAAATTAATGCATATAAAAGATCTCACTGTTGAATTATATTGTATTTTTTTAATATTACTATGTTCTTGAGCATTACATCTGTATTCATGAAACTAAAACTCATCAGCACCAAATTCAATCAAAATACAATGGCCATTTTCTTTAAAATGTGACCATTCATCATACAGATGTGAGATAAAACTTCTTAATGGGATGGAACATAACATTCTCTCAGATCAATGTTTACATTACACACTGCTCTCTCCTGGTCTCTATATAAATTCATGTTTTATAATTGTGTCAAAAAAAAAAAGATTTTTGAAAAAGTCTTGCAAAGTAGGATGAACTAACCCTACATTTAAAAATGTAAATAAAAAATAAGATGGGAAATGGACACACCCTTTCTTAGTAAAGTGAAGAAAAACTATCTGAATTCACTCATAAAAGCCCTGATGAAATAAAGTTAACTGAGTCTGGATCAGGGTTTCCCAGGTTTTCTGTATCAGCAGCCTCTTTCAAAGGGATCTAGTGGGAACATTCCTCCCCTCCTCTTGCAAACTGATATTATACAGTCTATATCCCTTCCTGAAGCAAATTTATAATATGCTTCTCTCTCTCAGATCCTCTCTGTGCTCAAACTCTGTCTCCTCTACCTGTATGTTTCCTTCCCACTAGGTTTCCTCCACCTAAACATCAATTTTCCTTCCAATCTCCTCATCTGTTTTCCAACAAGAGACTGTCTGTCCTCCCACACCTCTCCCAGCATTGCCTTTACACGGGGGCTACATCTACACTGCAGGCTTTTTGTGCAAGAACAGGTGTTATTGAGCAAAAACTTGCAGAGCATCTACACTGCACTCATGTTCTTGCACAAGTAAATTTACAGTAAAGCGTCGGAATACAGAGCTTCTTGCACAAGAGCCATTCCTCTCCCCACGAGGAATAAGTCCTCTTGTGCAAGAGCTCTTCCACAAGAATGCAGTGTAGACAGGCAACACAGGTTTCTTGCGCAAGAAAGCCCTATGGCTAAAATGGCCATCAGAGCTTTCTTGCACAAGAGAGTGTCCACACTGCCATGGATACTCTTGCGCAAAAGCACATGGCAGTGTGGATGTTGTCTTGCGCAAGAACTTTTGCACAAGAACTCTTGCACAAAACTGTTTTTGCACAAGAAGCCTGCAGTGTAGACATAGCCCTGGGAGTGCAGAAAGAGGAAAGTATCAGGGTCTGCAGCAGAACCAGTCTCCAGGCAACCTAATCAGCACAGCTGGCTTTTAGCAGGCTGTTTGATTAGTTATGCCACCTGACTAGTGGGAAGAGACAGCAGATCATTTTTTAAACCCAGCCAGCAACAAAGCTAACAGCTGCTCATAGCATTTGTCCATACTTGTGATCAGTGCTTTTTTGTGTGTGATGGTACTGCCTGGTTTGCTGTATCAGCACCTCCAGTCAGAGCTCAACAACTTTTCCCCTGAAGTACTGGCACTTTTTTTTTTAAACAAACAAAGGACTGCTGTAATAGTGTCTGTATGACTCAGCCCTGCTTTTGCCATGCTTCACTCCAGGTAAACTTTGCTCCTATTCCTGATTTCTCCTGACTCTGGACTCCTATTCCTGATTGCTGCTCTGAACCACAAGATTCAGCTCATCACACACTACAGTAGGCCTCCTCTCTTCACCAATCAGTGCAGACCTGTGGCGGTGTCTCCATTTACCATTCCCCTGGGGTACAATCAGTAGAGCAGAGGCTGGACTGTTGTTATCCACTCCCACCCCTCACACACACACACACACACACACACACACACACACACAACCCTGGCTAAATTTGCTGCTACCCGCCTGTGTGGAGGATCAGCAACCATTCAGAGGAAAATAGAAGGTGGTGCTACTACACATCAGGGCTCTCTTGAGGCTGTGACCTGCCTTTGTCTATCTCCCTTTACACATGCACACCCCTCCCTACCCTGAAGCTCACTGCTAATATGCTTTGGGAGTCTCAGCTGACAGGCCTACATTATGAACTCAGTTGCTGAGTCTTTTGTTCTTTGTAGAAACCTTCTGACAGAGAGTCTGAGATTTAGCAAACAGCCTTTTAAGGGGCCCTTGCTTATCCTCTGAAGTGACAAATAAGTCCCAAAACCCAGTTTTTAACTGGAAGGCTGGGAATCTACAATGCCCAAATCTCTTGGATAGAAAAGTGCTACATAGCATTGTATTTTGCTTCAAATCTCTTGGGTTATGGTGCCATCTAGTGGTCAGATGGTTTAGTACAATTAAAGTGTACAGTACAGGCATTCCCCGGGTTAC